ATGGGATAAATGCAGAGCACTAATTCCGAGTATGGGTCACCATACTTGGCCACATGTCACGTCACTTTTCACTTTTTCACTTTTCACTTTTCAATATTACAGCGAGAATAAAAGTTACTCCTTCTTTCTTTGTGTGAACATTTGGGCGGTGTTATGCAAATCTTCCCACATAGTGAGGTAGAAATGTGTGGGTGTGTTAGAACGAGCCGTTTTAGGTAGGTGTGGCTGACTCTTAACTTTTATAAAGAATATCTCTTTGGATTTGAGACTTTAGTCTTTGCAACTTTACAGATCTTCTTTATGGACCAAGAGCTTGTAACACTCCAAAGAGAAAGGAAAAATTGAAATCGCATCATATGACCCCTTTAAGTATTATCTTATCTTTGCTGTGCTCAGCAGTGGAGCAGCTGGCAGTCTTAAGGTTGACTGATAGCAGACCGACATATTAGACTCATTACAGAAATAACAGTGAGACTGTGGGGGGACATAGGTCACATATACTGCTTAGGTAATCACTCGATAAGGTCCCCTCGTAGAGTACGCATGCTCCAGGGAGTTAGAGTTATTTGCTGATGTTTTTTAGGTCTGTGGGAAGATAAGGCAGTCTAAGGGTACACATCAATTATCTGGACTGTATATGGGGATGGGCCGCAGCACTGGGATGTAGAAGTAAGGAAAATCTCATCTGGCACATCATGTCCATGCAGTTGGATGTCAATCTGATAACGTATCCCTGTTATCAGGATCAATCATCATATATGAAGTAGATGCACTTTTGAAGTCGAGAATGCATTATCTAGGGGAAAAAAGAGAGGGATTGTGGTTTTACTGGAAAACAAGCTTTTTTGCAACTTTTCTGATATCATCAGTCTATGTCAGTGTCTTGATTATGCTGGTTGTATCGTGTACACTTTCTTCTCTTCTGCTCTCCAAGAAAGCCTTAATGTGGAAACTCTCTTTTCAACCCTCCTCAATGAGGTAGTTCATTTTGTCTTCCTTTATTTGTTACAGGTCACTTTCCCAATAAAGCCATGCCCTCAGCAGGCACCCTGCCCTGGATCCAGGGCATTGTCTGCAATGCCAACAATCCATGCTTCCGACACCCAACCCCTGGGGAATCTCCAGGAGTCGTTGGGAACTTTAATGATTCTATGTAAGTTGTTGCCTACAGCTGAAGATTTCGAAATAACCCTATAATGTGGCCAATTATATGTAATATAAAACACTTAAGTGCAATTTGGTAGTAATTCTGATTTCTTTTTCAGAATCTCACGTCTGTTTTCTGATGCCAAGAAAATCTTACTGTACAGTCAAAATGACAAGAGCTTAGACGGATTCAAGGAGCTTATCAGTGCAGTAAAAGTCATGCAAAATAACACATCTGGTGAGTACAGTAGAATTGCCTAGAGTGAAAACATCACATTTTCTTAAAGAAATAGCTTACCTGAAAATTCATCCTCATGTGTTTCCAAACATCAAATGCTGTTTTTTTTTCCATAAAGTGAAAACATAAAGTGACCAAGCTCTAAAAAGGACAAAAAACATTATTAGTGATCCACATGACTTGTGTGCTGTATTCCAAGTCTTCTAAAGCCATATGATAACTTATGATATTCATTTATATTCAGACTTCGAAGTTAAAGGGGTCCTATTATTCTCATTTACAAAGTCTTGATTTTGTTTTGGGGGTGTACTAGAACAGGCTCTCATACTAGGTTGTTCGAAAAACACATTATTTTTCACATATTTTACATTATTACAACACCTCTCTCCCCAGTCTGGCATGAACGGCTTGAATTGTTCCTGTATCAAATGAAGGCCCCGGATTCAAGGAGCTTATCAGTGCAGTAAAAGTCATGCAAAATAACACATCTGGTGAGTACAGTAGAATTGCCTAGAGTGAAAACATCACATTTTCTTAAAGAAATAGCTTACCTGAAAATTCATCCTCATGTGTTTCCAAATATCAAATGCTGTTTTTTTTTCCATAAAGTGAAAACATAAAGTGACCAAGCTCTAAAAAGGACAAAAAACATTATTAGTGATCCACATGACTTGTGTGCTGTATTCCAAGTCTTCTAAAGCCATATGATAACTTATGATATTCATTTATATTCAGACTTCGAAGTTAAAGGGGTCCTATTATTCTCATTTACAAAGTCTTGATTTTGTTTTGGGGGTGTACTAGAACAGGCTCTCATACTAAATAGGACCCCTTTAAGAAACCATTAAGAACATAAACAACACAAACTTGACATTTTCATCAAGTTTGAATATGCAATTGACCAAATGAGACCAAGTGAGCCCTGCAGCTTAGTTTTTTAGTAAAAAATGACTTAAATACTTACATTTTAGCTTTTCCTTTTTATGTTCCACCAAGGAAATAGAGTCATGTGGGTTTGCAATGACATAAGAGTGAATAAAAGACATGTTTTTCATTTTTGGCTGAACTACGTCATGTTTTTTGCCCTTTTCAGTAATTGTACTCTTCCATAGCAAACACTACCCCTAGCATAAAGTGACTCATTCGAATTATCAGTTAATCCTTGTGAATATATAAGCAAAAGGTTAAGGCCCGTCAGTCTGTGAGGATTTGTTGGGATAGTGAAATTTTTCAACTGACACAGGAGGAGGTGGGTGGCTGAATGAAGGATCAAGCCCTTCATACAAGCCATGGCAAGTCACTTTCAGAGCCAGTGTGGGTGTAAATATGCACACATCCCAGAATCCAGTCCTCTAGCATTACCTGCCCTATTCACTTAGTGTCTTCCCGTTCACAGACTTCTCTTCTCACGCTAAGTGAGCTTTAATTGCATTTCTCTGCCTAATGGAGAAAAGGTTGCACAGACGCCATCACAAAACGTCCGCAGTAACAATATATAGAATGCATTTACCAAAAAGTGAAGTATGATGACATTTTTAGATCTGTGACAGAGTGAAATGGGTAGATGACTTAACTGTTTTCAGAGCCGTACAGACAAAAACAGGATCAAATTGATGCAAAATTGACCTAAATTCACAGTTAACTATAATAAACATTCCTGTTGCTCCAAAGTAATTTTAAAAATCTAGTTTCAGAAAAGTCTTGAACAAAAAGAGCCATGTCAGGTCCACCTGTTCAAATTAAAGCTTCATTATTGTGTCTCACACTGTCGTGCATGACAATAGGAATGCTTTGAACTCGCCATCCACTCATTGTGGGGCTTATCGTTGCATCCGCATGCTGCGATCTCATTCATTTCTGTCTTTATTCTCCTCTTTTGATTACAACTAATGGCAACAGACATGAAAGTGTTGAGTTCTTCGGGTTTAGGTTATAGTTATCGCTTGAACCCATTCACACCTACATCATTTGCTATGATTAGCTGTGATGCTGAATTCACAAAGAACTTTAAATAGCTGCTTTACACTATCCTCATAATGGCGTACAATGTTGTAAACATTCAGGCAGAAAATGTTATGCTAATTGTTGTAATGGTAGCCAAAAGAATAATGTAATAGGTTTTCTTTGGTTATTAAGGGTTTATTTGAGCATATGACTTTTATATTCACCTAGCTGTCCTGATGGCTATCACTTAAAATATATTAAAATAGAAAACAGTTATTTTAAATGATAATCTGTAAACATTCAGGCAGAAAATTTTATGCTAATTGTTGTAATGGTAGCCAAAAGAATAATGTAATAGGTTTTTCTTTGGTTATTAAGGGTTTATTTGAGCATATGACTTTTATATTCACCTAGCTGTCCTGATGGCTATCACTTAAAATATATTAAAATAGAAAACAGTTATTTTAAATGATAATAAAATTTCACAATTTCAGTGTTTTATATTTTTGATCAAATAAATACAGTCTTGGTGAGCATAACTTTCAAAGACATTAAAAAAATCGTACCAACCCCAAACATTTGAATGTCAGTGTAAATTTCAAGACATAAGTTAAAATCTGAGAACTGGATTAAGGGTTTTGGAAACCCCTGTATTACGTATACATATCTTGATTTCACCACGGCTCATTTAGACTAGACCTTCTCATTTTAAGCTTGCATATACCTGTCCTATCTAAAAAGGCCTAACAGATGTAATTGGCCATGACTTTACAGAAGATCCTTGCACATGTCTTTTCAGGCCCCATTTTACTCCCCTATTTCTCCCCCTTTACCCTCTTTTCAAAAGAATGGTTACTGGGGAAGCGATTGAATAGTTCAGGAATCTGCCACCTCCTGGGGGTTCGCCCCTCCCTAGCAATGGACACATTTCCAGCATTTGTTTTCCTGAACAGCACAGATGGAAGACATGGAGACAGTTGGGCTGCTCTGGGTGAGGGTTATCGCAGGTAGTTGTTAGATAGGTGTGAATGGCTACACTTTTCCATACACAACAGGTAGGACTTTAGGTGTATGAATTGGAGGAGGAGGCCAATGTCTAGCAACATGAGAGATGTCCCCAAATTTACAGACTTGACCCCACTTAGGTATTTCCATCAAAAAAAAGGGATCTGAAAAACTTTCAATTTGACCAGACTTTGAATTTCAGCGGATCCATCTCCGCATTTGAGGTTTTTTGTTTCGATTGTGACTCATCATATTCATCAGATAATGTAAAAATGTACTTATTTCTGTAAGATTCATATAATCAAGGAACTACTTTATCATTCAAAAGTTTCAGGTCTGTAAAATTTATGTTTTTTTAGAGAAGTCTTTTTTTGCTTACCAAGGTTTTATTTGATTAAAAAATAAAGAAAATAAATAAAAATACAGTAAAAACAGTAATTTTGTGTAATATTATTACTATTTAAAACAGCTGCTTTCTATTTTAATATAATTTAAAATGTAATTTATTCATGTGATGACAAAGTTGAATTTTCAGCATCATTACTCCAGTCTTCAGTGTCACATGACCCTTCAGAATTGCTGCTCAAGAAACATTTCTTATTATGATTGTTGAAAACTGTTTCTTTGAAGAACAGAAAGTTTAAATGAACACCATTTACTTAAAATTAAAATCATTTGTAACAATGTCAATATGTCATGTTTTATTGTCACTTTTGATCAGTTTAATGGGTCCTTTCGCTAAATAAAAGTATTAATTTCTTTAAAAAAAAAAACTTCAAACTATTGAATGATAGTGTAATGCCACATATTTAAGGAAGGAAGGGGAGTCTTTTACAAGACTGTCCAATTTTTCTGGATTTGTGTGGCCTACTTCAACCCCTGTTTTAGATTCCAGACCATTTAGGCAACTAGACTCCATGTACATTGTTTGTGGAATCACACGATGAATCAGTCGACGTTTCTTTCCACGCCCAGGTGAACCGTTCTAGCTGGCCTGCTCAGACATGCACTTGAACTTTGAAAGAGGAATGAAATTTAAGGAGAGCACACGAGTATGTAGTTAACACTCACAAAGGCTCCACACCTGAATGATCAGCGCTGAATTTCAGCAAGTGTGCGCATGTACAGGAGAAATAAAAGTTTGAGGTTTTGTAAGAATGCGAAGTAAATGTAAACTAATGGAAAATGGGGTGTGTTTCCAAAAACAATAATCCTGAAATGTGGAGGCAGGTCTTCTTAAATTAAAAGTCTGGTCAGATTGCTGAAAACCGATAACTACAGCCATTGTATAGTGGTTTTGTAAAGCATTGCTTAACACACACACACACACACTAAAGTGGTATGTTTGTCCTTAGGTTTCAAACTGAAGGACTTCCTGCGTGAAAATGAAACCCTTTCCACGTTCCTCCAACAAAACGCCTCCTTTTCCCATAATTATGTACAGAATGTGCTGGAAGCTGATGTGAATCTTGAAAAGGTGAGAATGGAAAAGCATTATTTTAAAGAATAAATGGTGACCATGACTATTGTAGTTTTCCATTGTCCCACTTCTTCCATGCCCAAGCGGAAAAAAAGACCTAAACTTCACACTTGCAGTACTGTAATTAATTGTATAGAGTTTGTAAGGCATAGGCATTGTTTCTAGGTTGGTTTTAATAGTTTACCCCACACATGCTGTTAAATTGCCCCTAGGAATCAGTTAAAGAGAGGAAACCAGCATGCAACTTCATTTTTGTTTGTAAATCAACAGCTGTTAACTGTGAGACATGCCCTCAGGGCATTACACAATCTACAGTCCTCATAAATGACCATAGGCAGCCTAGTTTTACCCTAATGTACCCTCGTGATGTGTATTTAAGGCATCTAGGCTAAGTGCCTTATAATGTCCCTGCCCTGATAACAAACTCGTCATATGAACAGCTCTGTCACCTTCTATCTCCAAAACCCCTCACGGATCACATGAACACCTTTTATCTGCTGTCACATCTACCGCTTATCACGATGCTCCTCATGTTTTAGGTGCTGATCAAAGGTTTTGGCGTCCATCTGAGAGACATGTGCAGCACCACCACACTTGAGGATTTTGTGAGCATCCCAGACGAAAGGGTGGCGAGATTCACCCAGGACCTCATCTGCAGCTCTCCCAATAGCTGGCTAGACCAGGCCGAGAGACACTTCAAGTCCAACTTGGATTTCCTCAAACCTATTAGGGTAAGAAAAATGGTACAGTGAATCAAAATGAACATATCTGATACACATGTTTTCAAAGAATCCAACAAACAAACAAATTTGGTATTACCATAAAAATATTTAATAATAAATATTCAATACTGTGAAGTCACTTAAATTATCATATATTAAATGTATCATAATCGAATAAAAACTATAAAGAATTTGTCCATGTCATTAATTCTACCCGAAAATCAAAAGAAAAAAACCCCCAGAAATTAATAATAATAGTATTACAATTTCCTTTTTTTTATTTGGGTGGAATTTATTATTATTATTATTATTAGTATTAGTGGTCGACCGATATATCGGCCGATATTTGGCATTTTTTAAATATCGGCATCGGCCGATACGTTTTCCTGTTTGGCCGATGCATTCGAGGCGGGACTTTTATTCTGACGGTGCCTACTGTTGCTGAGTTGTTAAAAACAGAACCAGGTGACTTTATCATTGGCATGCACTGAGCTGAGACACAAACAACTCAACAACCAGCTAAAACAGAGAAAGGAAAATGAAAGAGTGAGCTAGCTGGTTATGAAGCGCGTGGGAGGATGCATGTCATTGCATGTTACTCTACACACCTACTTTAATATATAGCCTGAAGGCACAGATGGAAGTTACAACACATTTGAACAGCTTCAGTTCCTGTCTTCTACTTCTTCCTATGCACATTGAAAAGAAATATGTCAGTTTGACTCATAGATCACACTGGTCAATAAAAGATAATTTTGACTCATCATTGGGATTCTTGGGAAGTGAAGTGCAGTGGAAAACCAGATAAATATGTCATCTTAGTTTGATTTTGCTTGCCAATGGCACATAAAATGCATGGAATGAATGGTTCTTTGATCACTTACAGACATGCAAATTAGATACAAGAACTAACATGAGCAACTAGATTGATTTAACAGTCATATAAACCGAGTCACACAATATTGTAAATGACTTAACCTTTTTCTTCAGGTTTATGTATATTATAATATTTAAATTACATAGTTATCTAATAACTTAATGTAAACAAAAAAAACAAACAAAAAAACAAATACCAATATATATATATATA